TGCAGTGGAAGTAAAGGTTATGCAATAGTACACCTGAATGCCACCATCTTCACCAAATTTACCATGTATGACTGGAAACACTATGTCCACAGAGGCAGCCAGGTGTTCGGCGAAGTTGGACAAAGACTCGAAACCTTGGGCAAGGCTGCAGAAACTCACAGTTAGCCAGCTCAACATATTTGGTCCCTACGGGAAGGAGACGGCAAATTCCGAAGTTTCAAAATACAAAAACTTACCTTGCAAGTTTAAAATCAAAATCCGCAGGAGTGTTTGAGTATACCTGTGAATGTGCAAAATTTAGAAGCAGGAAAAGAAACGAGTCCAATTTTTTTTTTTAAAAGCAATGCATGATATCCAAACCTGAGCAGGGGATATTGCGAACGCATTAAGGTCAGGATCAATGTAATAGCAATTCACATGTATATCACCTCCCTGTTTCAAAATTCAAAAGAAACAACAATTTTCTTACTATCTATTTCCACTATTTTCTCGGAATACAAACGAAAATTGAAGGAAACCACGTGTAGCTCTATAGTGAAGAAAAGCTTTACCTGAATGTGATCAAGAACTGATCGAGCTGAGTTGAGAGAAATTCCACGCTCCGCCGAGGGACCTCCACAAATTACCCCCACTCTCAGAACCCTAACTCTCTCCTTCTCTTCTCTCTCAATAAGTCGATCGTCCACCACCTCCACTGAGGCGCGTGGGACCCCGATGCTCCTCCACCGCGCCGGCGAAGAACAACTTCTCAAGCTCTGCTTCAATCGCAACAAGCTGAAGTTCTGCGCGCACAGAAGCGATTCCGGAGCGGCATCGTTTTGTTTGGCGCGAAGTAAAGCAAAGCTGGAGCAGCCAAATGCGATCGCTGCCATCTGAAAATGATCGTCGGGACTCTAGTGAGAGAGAGTGAGTAAGAGAGAGTGAGCAGGTAGTGAAAACATAGTTAAATTTTTCTCAATTTATTTTCAAATTTTAATGTTTAAAATTCGTTTCAGACGGCAGCAAATGCCAAATTTTGGAGGGAGTACGTCTTGCTCATTGGCCGTTTGGTGCTGTTGAAAAAAAATAATTAAAAAAATGTTATTAGCGTGCACTTGTTTAGCCTTAACAATATAACTCCGGCCAATTATTTTTTCGATCATTATTTTTCTGATTAATTATATAAAGATAATTTTGTTTTCTAGCTACAATTATCACCTAATTTGTCTTATTATTAATTTAATTGTCTATTTTTAATCTAATTATTCCACTCCCACAAGAAAAGTCCAAGAGTGGTGGATTGAGGAGGATTTTGCTAATGGATATGGATATGATAGTGAATCCAAAAAAGTCATTGCTTGAAGTTAAAGTTAAATAAAACCAAAGGGTTAGTTGGAATAATCAGGCACGGTTGCTCTTATACGGTCTCAGGTTCGAAACCTCCGAAGATACCTACAATAGCTATTCGCTAGTGTTTCTTGCCTCCCAAAAATTGTATAGCATGCTATTTGGGTATGTATAAAAAGTTAGAAGTTAAATAAAACATGCTCTAGAAAAGTTAACCAAGAAAAAAAAGGTTTGACCAAAAAAGGAAGAAAAGAGAGTAACACAGCATAGCCCAAGCCCAAAAAAGTCGGCCCAACTTTTCTTTAGGCTTAATCAGATTTTTATGAGACTAGTTTTCTTCACTTAACCCACCAACTTTCTGGATCTCAACATCAATAAATGATTGGCAGAGATCAGGTTTGGTGATTCTTTTAC